AGGACCCCATCGTTCTAAGTTTGATCCTAAAGCTACTAAATGTATATTCCTTGGCTATGCACAGAATCAAAAGGGATATTGCTGCTATAATCCTAGTTTTGGTTCTTGATTTGTATCCATGGATGTTACCTTTTTTGAGGATGTCCCCTATTACCCAGGTGTTTCTTCTTAGGGGGAGAATAATGAGAAGGATTGTCATTGTCTTGGAGTTCCTCTACCTATCCCTATTCTTAAAGGAGAGTGTTGTAATGAGGGTGCTTGTTAGAAGTGTAAGGAGTTGAGAGTTTACCACAAGAGGTGGAGGCAAGTTGATTTTGGTGCTCATAATCAGTCCCGGCTAGTTCCTCTCTCCTCTGCAATTCCAGATTCAGGTACTTCTTCCTCCTTGCCTGTTGATACATTACCCTCATCTTTTGATCCTCTACCCCCTCCAGATGATATTGATCTTCCCATTGCAGTCTGTAAGGGAAAGCGTCGTGCACTTCATCTACTGCTCATTGCATATATCAGTTTATCACCTATGATCATCTTTCACCATCCTATAGGTCCTTCTTGGCATCTATCTCTGCTATACCTATTCCTAGGTTTCTACAGTAAGCTCTTGCAGTACTTGAGTGGAAGAATGCAATGGAAGAAGAGATGGGTGCTCTCATTAAAAATAAGACCTTGGGAGCTAATTGACAAGCCAGAAGGAAAAAAAAAAACCAGTTGGGTGCAGATGGGTGTTCACTGTGAAGTATAATGCAGATGGCTCAGTTGGAAGGTATAAAGCTCGATTGGTGGCAAAGGGGTATACTTAGACTTATGGCATTGACTACCTAGAAACCTAGAAACCTTTGCACCTGTTGCCAAGATGAATACCATTAGAGTTCTATTATCCCTTGCAGCAAATTTCTCATGGCCTCTGTTCCAACTTGATGTCAAGAATGCTTTCCTTAATGGAGACTTGCAGGAAGAGGTGTATATGGAACTACCTCCTGGTTTTTATGATGCTGCTATAGGAAAGAAAGTTTGCAAATTGAAAAAGGCTTTATTATGGTTTAAAGCAATCTCCAAGAGCCTGGTTTGACAGATTTAGATTGGCTCTTGAAAGGTTTGGCTATGTACAGGCCCACTCTAATCATACTCTTTTCATTAAGACAAATGGTGCTTCTCTCACCTTCTTGTAGTGTATGTTGAGGACATTGTTGTGACTGGTTGTGATCCTGATGAAATTGATTATTTCAAACAATTCCTTCATGCAAAATTTGAAGTGAAAGACCTTGGTGGTCTACGCTATTTCTTATGCTGTTAGTGTTGTCAGCCAATACATGCATTTTCCTAGAACCACTCATCTATTGGTTGTGGAAAGAATCATTGCTTACTTAAAGAAATGTCCAGGTTGGGGAATACTCTTTAAAAATAATGGTCATATGAAAATCAAGGTGTATACTGATGCTGATTAGACTGAATGTGTTGATGATAGAAGATTGACTTCAGGATATTGTGCTTTTGTTGGAGGTAACTTTGTGTCATGGCGTAGTAAGAAGCAAAATGTTGTTGCCCGTTCAAGTGCTGAGGCAGAATACAGGTCCATGGCCCATGGTGTGGCTGAAGTGTTATGGCTGAGATCTCTTCTCGAGGAACTAGGGATTGAGTATGAGAAACCGTTGAGGTTGTATTGTAATAACGAAGCTGCTATCAATATTGCTCATAATCCCATCCAGCATGACAAAACTAAACATATTGAGGTTGACCATCATTTCATCCGTGAGAAAGTTGCTTCTCAAGATGTTTGTTTTCCCTATGTCGCCTTTGATATGCAGTTTGCTGATCTCTTCACCAAAGCAGTCACCAAAGTCAAATTGGAACCAGACTTGTACAAGTTGGGAATGATGAATAGATATTCCCAACTTGAGGGGGAGTGTAGTGATACAATGGACCAGACATGATGTTCCTTGTTTATGTAGTCCCATAAGTTCAGTTTTTATTTCTTATTGTAGGTAGCAGGTCATTTTTGCCCTTTATGCTTGCTTACTTGTACTATTGTAGGTAGCAGGGCATTTTTGTCCTTTTACCTAATGTTATGTTGAACATATAAATAATACTACCTTGGGCGGCAATAAGTGATTTTTGCCCATCACTCTCTTGCTCTTCCTTTGTTCTCCTTTCTCCTTTCCTTCCTCCTCTTCTTTTCTTCTCTTCTTCTCTCTTTTCTTCTTTGCTTTCTGTTTTGTTTTGTACACAGAAGTTCTGCTAACAGCAGTAACTTCAAGTATCTTGATGGTGGTGTCTCTATAGTACCACTTCAAACCCCTTTGACTCCTCTCCAGCGGCATTGCAGGCTTGGTCGTCTATCTCTCAAGGCTCTCAAGCTACTTGTCCCTTCATTAAGTTGTCTTTCGTCTTTGTAGTGTGAGTCGTGCCAGTATGGGAAACACCATCGGGTTTCCTTTAGTCCTAGTGTTAATATTTGTATGTTGAGTCCTTTTGCTTTAGTCCATTTAGATGTTTGTCCGAGTAGAATTGAGGCCTATAATAATTACAAGTATTTTGTCATTTTTTGTTGATGATTGTTCAAGGATGACTTGGATTTATTTAATGAAAGAAAGAAGTAAATTATTCTCTATTTTCCAAAAATTTCATGCTGAAATATGAATGCAATTTGGTGTTCAAATAAAAGTTTTTCGTTCAGATAATGGAAGAGAATACTTTCTTACTTCATTTCAATAATACTCTTCTCTAGTGGTCCCTCTTCCAATTCCAGTTGACGATCCCATTTGGTTGTTCCTATTGTGACTGAGTCTTACCTCTAGTGTAGATTCGTACTGAATGATCACTGATCCGACAAGTGTATACTCATCGATAGACACCGGCCCCTCCGGCTTCTACTTCGTTTGTGGATCCCATACTTGTTCCTACCCCAATGTTGCCTTTTTCTAAGCTCGACCTTCCCATTGCATTGCAGAAAGGTAAACGTAGTTGTACTTTACATCCCATATCCAATTTTGTTTTTGTTTCTCACATTTCTACTTGACATCACCGGTATGTTTCTCTCTTGTTCTCTATATTTATAAGGTACCTAAGTATATCCAAGAAGCTCTTACCTAACTAGGGTGGTGTCAAGTTATGGAAGAGAAACTCTCTGCTCTTAAACACAATTATACGTGGGAGTTCATCATTCTTCCTCTAGGTAAGCATGTTGTAGGTTGTAAATGGGTGTATATTGTTAAATACTTACCAGGTGGTAGGGTGGGGCGATTAAAAGCCTGCTTGGTTGCTAAGGGTTATTCTTAAATGTATGGAGTATACTATATGAAAACCTTCTCTCCTATTGCTAAGATTAGTTCAATTCGTATTTCGATGTCAATAGCAACTATGCATGATTGTGTATTGTTTCAGCATGACATTAAAAATGTACTTCTATATGGTGATCTTTTAGAAGAAGTTTACATGGAGCAACCATTAGGGTTTGAGAAAGGGTATTCTCTTCTTTAGGCATGGACATATGAAAGCTAGAGGCTTATATAGATGTCGATTGGGCTAGTAGCAGTAGTCAGATCTTTAGATGAGGTAGAGTACAGGGCAATGGGACATGGAGTTTCAAGGTTGTTATGTCTCAGGTCACTTCTAGAGGAGATGGTATTGCATATAATAAACCCTAAATGTTGTACTGTGATAACCAGGCTGCAATTAACATAGCTCACAATTCAGTTTAACATGATAGAACAAAGCATATTGAAGTAGACCAGCATTTCATAAGAGAAAGGGTGGCTTCCGGAGAAGTTTGTTTTCATTGTCTCAAAGCAACAATTAGCAGATGTTATAACCAAGGATGTCCCTAAGGGAAAGTTACAACACTATGTAAGCAAACTGGGCATGATTGGTATCTATGCTGAGCTTGAGGAGGAGTATATAGATAATGGGCTGAATGGGCCTTAGTTTCTTTCTTTTATTTAGTTATGTTTATGTTTTATGTTTATGAGTAGTGGGCCTTAGTTATGGGTCTGTTTCCATCTTTTTTATAACTGTTTTTAGTGCTGGCCGCCCTACTATAGTATTCATGTAATTGTGCTCATATTACAATTAAAGAATAAAAGATAACTTTGGGGACAGGAGAGTGCATCCAACTACTCTCTTCCTTCTTCCCTTTCTTCAATATTCTTCCTCCATTGTTTCTTTCTCTTCCATCTTCTTCAATCTTCTTCTTCCCTTCTATTTTCTATTTTATTTCAGATTATTGTATGTGGGATCTACAATTTCAACTTTCATGGGTTCCTAGATGTGCTAACAGCATAGCTGATGCCTTAGCAAGACAAGGGGTAAATGGAGCAAAATTATTTCAGGGTGAAGTTTTGAGGGGAGCCTGATATAAGGATTAATTGGGATAGATAGTGGTTATTAGTTTACAAGAATTTCCTCTTTAGAATTTCTGTTTTATAGGTATTAATAAAATCCTTGATTGTTACTGATCAAAAACTAAAAAAGGATGTGGATGTGAGGAGATAAACACCAACCTGGTGTTTTTCTTTGAAGTGTCTCATAAGTGTTAATTTCCAAGTGGTATACTTTTAAACAGAAGGTCCTCACCTTGGGACCTATTAAAATTTTGATATGTATGTCATAGAGAATGGAATTTCTCTAAGTCTCCATCTTTTTCCTTTTTTTCTCCCCAAATTTTGATTATTCCTATGAATTCATGAAGCATGAAGCTAACAGGAAAACCAAAGATTTAGACATCCATTTACATTTCTGTTGTTCATTACTTCAATATAATTTTCTAAACCCTATTAATGTGTTGATCCTCTCTCTCTCTCTCAATTACTTTTCTTTTGGTGGCTCTTTCTTTAAATGCATGTGGACAACCAAACAATGTAGAATCTCCTTGGCAAAAGTTCATAGAATCACGTTATGACTGCTTTAGATTTTTTTGACTTTATCATATCTGAACATCTATGTAATCGAGTTGCATGTTGGTTGTATATTATTCATTATAAGGGGATTTATTTTTGTGTTATTAGGATCAAGAATGATGATAGAATGATTCGAGCAGAGGGTATTGAGTCCCTTTCAGAAGCTGAACTTCGTCAGGCTTGTAGGGATCGAGGCTTACTTGGAATGCTGTCCACTGAAGAAATGCACCAACAGGTTTTTCTTTGAGCTTAAACTTTATTTACTTATCCTTTTTCTCATTAACGAATTTCAAATTGCAATCATTCCATATAATTTACGTTGTGGGAATGATTTCAATGATATTATTATGTCTATCATCTGAAATATTTTAAATATAGGTATAGTGATAGTTGGCCTTCTTGTGTAGCATTGATAATCCTTCAAGGGTTCCTGGATATGTTGGCTGGAAAGTGGCTTGGTTTTGGGGAGAAAGGCCCCATAGCTGGAATTTGGAGCTCTTATGTTTTGTAGATTCTTATGTGTTTCACACCTATGGAAGGGCTTAACAAATTCTAAATTCTGTTATTTGTACACTAGTAATGCTCTATTAACTTTCAAAATAAACTAAAATAAAAATTTTTTTAAATACATGAAATCTTATTTCTTACAAATAATATCTCAAATAGCAAAATTTCCAATGAAGAAACAATAATGCAACTAATATCTGATACCTAATCCTAAAATAGAATGAATTATGACAAAAATCACAAAACAAACCCCTTTATATATGGACCACAATTTCAGATTTGGGCACTACCTCAAACCCTTTTGTAGTGAGAATGGGCCGAATGGGCCTTAGTGTTCTTTATTTCTTTAGGTAGTATTTAAAAGTTATGTTTCTTAGTTATGGGCCTTCTTTTATTTTCTTTAATTGTTTCTTTAGTGCTGGCCGCCCCATTAAGGGCATCCAAGTAATTGTACTCAGACTTAGAATTATTAATAAAAGTGATGAAAGGGGGCTAGAAGAGAGGTTCAAATTCTTCTTTTCTCTCTTCCCTTCTTTTCTTCTTCCACAGCCTATTGCTGAAACTTCTTTTTTCTTCATTCTCTTTCTCTCTTTTCTTCTTTTCTTGCATTATCTGAATTATTGTAAGTGTAATTTTCAACTTGGTATCAGAGCGGGTTCACTTTCGACTTTTTTCTCCTTTCTTTGCCCATACATACTGTGTATGGAGAACTGATTGGTTGATCAATCAGCTACATATGCATCCCGGTTAGGAAGGTTTTTGGAGAGTTTTGTGGAGGTTTTTCATCCTTAGTTGAAGCCCAAGGCAGGTTCTTGGAGATTTTTCCTGAAAACCCTGGATAACTGGAGAAACCTTGTTATAGGTTGTAGAGACAATTTGAACTAGGCACTTGGGGATCAGAGATAAGCCTTTTGATTTCTATTAGGGGCAGTTTTGGGTGGATTAAATTTTGGAACCTCTGGAAGGGGCGATTGAAGTTTCTCTCTTTCTCCCCATTCCGTAGGACCCTGTGAAACCCTAATTTTGGGGGTTGAAAGGTTGTTCTTTGCTTAGAACAGTAAATCCAACTTAGTAAAGCCCTAATTTGATTTTCATTTGCATCCAATTTACTCAATGGAGAAAACTGGAGGAGAGACCAAATATTTCGCAAATTCTAGGTTTGGATATGGGGGGTCAGCAGAGAATCTTTTTGGGGCTGTGACCATTGTGAAGCTAGATGGAACCAATTATTTAGCTTGGCCTCAATCTATTAAGATACATCTGTGTAGTAGAGGAAAATGGGGTTATATTACCGGGAGAAAGAAGAAACTAGAGGAGGATGATCCTACCTATGAAAGGTGGATGTAGGAAAACTACAGAATAGTGGGTTGGTTAGTGAATTCTATGCAACCACACATTACTCAACATTACCTATGGATGGAAACTGCAAAAGAAGTGCGGGATAGTGTCACAGAGACCTATTCCCAAAAGCTTAATGTTGCTTGGGCCTACAAATTGAAGAATGATGTGAATAATCTTAGAGAGGGGGAGAAGCCCTTGGCAGTTTATTTCTCTATGCTAAAATCTCTTTGGCAAGAGATTGATTTGATGGAGACTGTTGTTTGGGGTTGCACAAAGGATGCAAAAACATACAAGAGGTTGGTGGAGAGAAATTGGGTCTTTGAGTTCCTCACCGGACTCAACTAGGAGTATGATATTGTGAGGCAAAATGTTTTAGAAAAGGATTAGGTGACTTTGTCTTAGGCATATGCTACGGTGAGCAGTGAGGAGAGTAGAAGATAGGTTCAGTCTGTTGAGCCGTAGGTTGATCACTATGCTAATGTTGGGATGAAGCCGAAGGTTAGCATTGGGAAGAAAGATGTTATTTGTAAATACTACAAGAAGCCTAAACACACTAAAGACACATGTTGAAAGCTGCATCCAGAGCTTGTTCCTACTAGATTCAAGAAAGAAAATGGTGAAAAAAGGGTTGAAACTAGAAAAGGTGGAAATGCAAATGTAGCCACCTCTTCACAAGGTGAACAAGGATAGGGTGGAGAGAAGTTAGTGGGAGAACAGCTTGCAGCCGCCAGGGCTGAATATGAGAAGTATGGACGAATCATCAGTCACTTGGAGTCCATTGCTACAGCTCCTTCAGAGACTGTTCCTTCCTCTGCATATGCTCACTCAGGTATTCGTGCCACTGTACATCATGCTTCTATCTCAGGTACTCATAAAACCCCTTGAATAATTGATTCTGGTGCTTCTGACCATATGACTAGTGTTTCACAGTTATTCACCTCTTACCAACTTCTTTCTGGTCAGGATAAGATATCCCTTGCTAATGGCTCCCTAGCCCCTATTCCAGGAAAGGGAAACATTAAGACCTCTAATGCCCTGACCTTATCATATGTTCTTCATGTACCTAAACTTAATACTAATTTTCTTTTAGTTAGTAATTTGACAATCCCTGAATTGCAGTGTCACCTTTTTTCCTTCATATTGTGGGTTTTAGGACATGGAATCTCAAAAGTTGATTGGGAGTGGTCATGAGGCGAATGGTATCTATCTATTAGACATGCCTGAGTAGAGCCAAGTACAACCTAAGAGAATTGCATTTGTTTCTGAGCCCACTAGTCGTATTATGTTATGTCATAGTCGTTTGGGTCATTTGTCATTTTCGACATTGAGTCACTTGTTTCCAGAGTTTTTTAAAGGAATTATTCTATCGAGTCTTCATTGTGAGTCTTGTGAGTTCTCAAAGCATTGTAAGAGCACTTATCCTTCAAGTAATAAAGATCAACTTTTCCTTTTAATATTGCTCACTCTGATGTGTGGGGGCCTTACCATTTACCATGTATGGGTGGGTATAAATATTTCATCTTGTTTATTGATGATTTTTCATGATATTCTTGGATTTACCTTATGCGCTCTCGGGCTGAAGTGCCTAAACTTGTGCAACAGTTCCATGAACACATACTCACTCAGTTTAATACTCGCATCAAAATATTCTGGTTAGACAATGCTAAGGAATATTTTGAGAAGGACCTTACCTCCTATCTGATATGTTTGCGGTTATTCATCAGAGTTCTTGTGCCCACACTCCACAACAAAATGGAGTAGCGGAGAGGAAAAATAGACACATCGTGGAAGTTGCAAGGAGTAATCTTTTTGCTACCCATGTTCATGTGAAGTTTTGAGGTTATGTAGTTTTAACAGCTACATACCTTATTAACTGCATGCTTTCTCGAGTCTTGGGGTTAAAATCTCTCTTTGGAGTCCTCTTTCCTGATGCTGAGATTTGTGGAAAAATAAAGAGGAAGAGAAGAAGAAATGAAGAGGGAGTGAAAAGAAATACTTCTGTATTGATAATGTGTTGATAAAACATGTTGAGCATACAACTTAAATAAGAAAAGATAGGAGAGACAAACTCCTAGGATCTCTCTCAATTACTCCTAGAATCTATCTCAATTAGGGGACTTTCCTAATTTTATTCAAATCTAATCTTTCCTAAATTCATTCAAATCTGTAATCAATCAAATTTGTAATGAATCAAATCAAATCTTTCTAAATTTGCAGCAAATCATATCTTTCTTAATTTGCCGCAAATCATATCTTGTCAACACTCCCCCTCAAGTTGGTGCAAAGATATCTATCATGCCCAACTTGCTAACTTGAAGTTCAAATGGTTGTCTCAACAAGCCCTTAGTCAAAACATCTGCAACTTGCTGAGTGGTTGGTACAAACGGAGTGCAAATTATTCCTTCTTCAAGTTTCTCCTTTATAAA